TCTTTATGCTGTGATCTTGGATTTGTTACTCTGCTCAGTGTGCCTCCCTATAATCACAATCTCACAGAGCCATTGGGCAAACATGAGGAATCTGAGTGAGCCGACCAGGCGAAGAACGTAACAGAGGTTAGAAGAGTACAAAGTTGCCGGTGGAGGAGAAAAAATTGTATTCTGTTCTACTGTGTTCTCATTCCTGTGTTAATTTGCACCCGACTAATGTCCAGACCCATCACCGAAGCACTAGACCGAGTTTAAGAGTAATTTCAAAAGTGTGCTCTGGCCCTGATCTTGCCTAAGGTCCTAGTCTCCTGCTCTCTGCTCATGCTTTCCTGGCATTCTGTTAGTAATCACAGAATCCAGGAAAATGGTCCCTATGTAGGAGCTGGGAGATAAAATGACCTGTTTTCACCATCTCATCTTGCGTTTCTCTTTGGTACATCAGCCCATTTCTGCCAGTTAATGTCTTTTTCTCCCATGGTGGTAACTTTCACTCACCATTCCAGCTGTCTCTGCTGCACACTCAAGCTTTGCTGTTGTCAAAAACTCAGGCTGTGTCTGTCAGCCCTCAGAGAACAAAGTTTCTGTATTTCTGCGGAGTCAATCTTCAAGTTCAAGCAAAGCCAACACCCTTAAATCAGAACGCCAAGAGGGCTGTCCTCAAGAACCTCTTCACTTGTTCAGAGCTTCTGAGACAACATTCTTTTCATTACCTCTGGCCTTTGTCAGATTCTCTAAACTTTTTGGCTTCTGATCTTGATTAATCTTTTTTCTTTTCTTAGTCGTTTTTTTTTTTTTTCCTCCCACACTTTCTTGGCCATTCTACCCTCAGGGGTCAATGATTTCTACTTTTCTTTGTTTTCTGTCAACAATTTTGGGCATTAAAAAAAAATCAATATTTACTTAAATGCACACAAAACATCTCTTGTCTATAGTAAAAGGAGACACCAAAGCAATGAAATATTCTGATATAATGGAGATTGATCACACTGTGGACTGGAAAATCAGACATTGGATTTCCATCATTTTGGCTCTATCACTTCTAATTATGTGATACTGGGCAAATCAATTTCACAGAGCTTCTTAACTCCTTTTTTTTTGTAATATGACCTCTAATGCCCACCCTAGCCAAAGGTTTTATGATTTTAAAGACCTATAATGTGAAGTTGTTTGGTCCAGCCAACCACATATTCTTCAGTTAAAACAAAACTTAGGTTGAATTTTTTTTTTCAAAAGACTATTTGATGAATGCACATTTTATCTCTCACTCTAGGCACTTGCATATAAGCCAAAATATGCCTACCTCTGGACTTGCATATGAGCCAAAATATGAACCATATTTGCACATGAACCAAAATATACCTACCTCTGGACCTTATAGGTTAATCATTGCTATAATAATGCAGTGTAACAGTTATACAATTTCAGGAGCATACAATATTTATGTACCTTTGAGGTAGACTGGAGGGTATTTGATCTAGACTGGGCTTGGCTTGGGTGGTTCTGCTCCGCTGTATGGGTCTCTCTTCTGCTTGGAGCTAGCAGGCTAGACTGAAAATGTTCTTCTCATGGTAATGGCTGAGAACAAGAGAGTGAGTCCAATCATACAAGCACCTTTCAAGTCTTGGGTTAGTTATACTCATGATATTCTGCTGTCCCAAACAAATCACATGGTCAAGCCCAAAGTCAAGGGCTGTTTATGGGTAAGGAAGCAGATATTTCTGAACAAGTGTGTCTAACACACTGTGCTTTGGAAATAGGTGTGAAAATGCTTATGCATGGCTTCTTCTCAGTGAAAATGAAGGCAGTGATGAAGACACGCAGAAACCTTGGAGATTTGACTCTAGTGTTGCTGTTTCTTTTTTTTTTTAAAAAAACATTTATTTATTTTTGAGACAGAGACAGAGCATGAACGGGGGAAGGTCAGAGAGAGAGGGAGACACAGAATCGGAAACAGGCTCCAGGCTCTGCGCTGTCAGCACAGAGCCCGACGCGGGGCTCGAACCCACAGACCGCGAGGTCATGACCTGAGCCGAAGTCGGCTGCTTAACCGACTGAGCCACCCAGGTGCCCCTAGTGTTGCTGTTTCTTATGTGGGAAAGAAGTAATTCCACCTCTGGAGGGAGGGGCTGCTGGCTGAAGACAGGTTCTATGAACTTACACACAATTTTAAGGTGCAGGTGAGATGGTCATGTCATTTTAGTCAAATGAGGGAGATCAAGATCCCAGCCCTGCCTGGAAAGCATCTCGAGTGTCTTTATTTTGCAGATTTGTCAAGAATTCCTCTGACCCACCGAATTCGTGTCCCTCTCGGGGGTGAGCAGATACTCACTGTATTCACGCTGGAGATGAATTTGCAAATGCCGACCAGAACTTATTTCTAAGACAAAAGAGGGGCACTTCCAAGGGGAGCTGATCTAAAAACACTGTGAGACATCTGTCACAGGACAGGCTGAAGAATGACATGGATTTGTGTTGTACTGTAAAAGTGTCCATCCCTTTACTGAAACAATCTAAACATCCTTCCACCCTAACCCCTCTGCTTGTTTTCATGCCTTTTAATGAGACAGTAAAATAAAGCCACAACTACCTGAACATAAATTACCGATGACTAATTTGTATTAAATAAAAATGACTACATATGGCGCAACAGTCATACATATATGAAGTTAGTCTTATTTATTTCTTGAGAATTAATGAGGAATTGAGGGCAATTAAGGCAGCAAAGATTAGTTTATTTTCCCATTCACTGGGCTGTATTTGTCATCTATTACTGCCTAGCGTATCACACCCAAAGTCAGTGATGTTAAAGAACCAGCATTTATTATCTCACACCGTGTCTGCGGGTCAGGAATTCAGAAGAGGTTAGCCGGGTGGTTCTGGCTCTCATGAGGTCCCAGTCAAAGGATCAACTGAGGTTGCAGTTAACTGAAGACTTACGTGGGGGCTGGAGGAGGTGCTTCCAGGAAGGCTCACTAATTGATACTTTCTGTTAGCAGGAGGCCTCAGTTCCTTGACGGGTGGCCCTCTCAACAGGGCTGCCTGAGTGTCCTCATGTCACAACAACTGGCTTCTTCCAGACACAGTGGGCAAAGAGAGATCAAGGTAGAAACCGCAACGTATTTTATGACCTAGCCTTGGAAATCGCACTCTGGTGACTTCTTATTGGTTATACTAGGCCTGGGACTGGTACTCATTTACAAGCCCGTGGAAGAGTGTGGCCCCGGATTTGAACACCTCTTTACAGTTTACACCCTAGGTGTCTTGCTTGCCTTACCCTAGCCCTGGTCAGCTACAGAAGTCAGTTGCGGTCACTATCACAGGGGACTATATAAGAGGCAAGGATCACACAGGACACACTGGACGCTGGTCACCACAAGAAATAAGCACTTAACCAAGGTTCTGATTTTGTTTTTAATTTTTTAATGTTTATTTATCTTTGAGAGAGACAGAGCATGAGTGGGGAAGGGGCAGAGAGAGAGGGAGACACAGAATCTGAAACAGGCTCCAGGCTCTGAGCTGTCATCACAGAGCCTCACGCAGGGTTCGAACTCACAAACTGCGAGATCATGACCTGAGCCGAAGTCAGAAGCCCAATCGACTGAGCCACCCAGGCGCCCCACCAAGATTCTGATTAATGAGAAAGGACTTCCGCTGGTTCAGTAGTTCTCAACTCCGGCTGAACACCTGAATCACCCAGAAGTCCTGATGCCAGGACTTCATTCCACAGGGATTCTGACTGAATTGTTCCAGAGTAGGACAGCCATGATGTTCAAAAAGCATCAACACACTCTCCGAGTTATTCTCACACGTGGTCAGGGAAAAGTACAAAGGAACTAAATGTTCCTTTTGAGATTAAAATCCATGCAGCATTTCCCTATCATATCTGACAGCAACATCTGTTCTTGCTTCCTAGGGCAGAGGTTCAGGGGTGGCTGAGAGGGACAAAGGGCATCAGCAGTTTATTCATTCAGGAACTATTGCTGACTACAGAACAAGTTTGGCTAACTAGGCTTCTTTTCCATCACCTTTGCATTCTGTTTGAACTATTTTGTAAAACACGGGAGAAGCAGGATTAATTCATCAATGCTAGTCTGATTTGAACCTGTATTTATTTCAAGACAGATCAAAATGTATAGATTGGATGAACGGGAGAGTCCCCAGATGAAAAAGAGAACAGGAATTACAGGATTTGGTTTGGGGTTAGGCTACCTGTTTACTCACACAACAGTTTGTAATAGTCTGATAGACGCACACACACACGTACAGATAAAGCTAAGGATGAGACCATTCTTAGTGCAGATCATTTTAGAGGCAAGTGAAGTGCTACCCGTGTCTACTAGGCTACTTGGTCATTAGCTAATTTTCCCTTGGATGCTTCCTCATCCCATGGGGCAGAAGGCTGGGTGGAACATGGTGGGAGGAAGTGGGGTTGGGACTGGTGTTCTTGTGCAAGGTATTCTGTTTTCCTCCACAGGCAAAATATTTTCAGTACAAAGACAACTTGCACTTATTTGGAACTCTTGCTAGAACTTGCACATTTTCTTCTTTTTGCAATTTTCTTAGGAAATGCAACAAACCTCAGAGATTATCACACTTTTGGTAAATAGCTCAGCATGGTGGCAGATATCCAAAAAGAAGAGGCTCTGGCACGGACATATGCTTGAAACCATTGTCGTCACCTCAGTCAGAGAACGAAAATGAAAAATAAAAACACTGCAAGTACTTTTTAACAACAGCAGTCTGATTTGCACTTCTTACATAAACAAGAAAATCTCTGCAGATTGCATTGGGTATGGGTGTGACATAACCTCTAACTCTAGCTCAATTTCAGGCATGTGCAGATGAAAGAGGGTGGGTTGCTGGGAAAACAGGTCATTCACTTCTGACATCCACTTCAGCTGCAGTACAGGCTTGGCTCGAGGGCAATTATATTAATAAAGCACAATGTCCACCTTCTTGCAGGATTCTAGCCGAGTTCTCTATGGCAAAATCTCAAGGGACTAGAGTGTCTCCATCTCATGACAAGGCAGATCACTTCCAATGGACTCTTGAATGCAAGTGTACTTGATGGGGGGTGGAGGTGGCTTGAAAGGCGGGGGTCTTTCCATGCTAGGAACAAAACATTGCTCTTTCATTGCTGAGAATGTGAGGCGGTGATTCAAGGAAGTAGAGAAGTAGGAAACAGAGCAAGAGACATGCCCACCGGTCCTCTCAGAAGGTTTCCTTGCATAACCTTCTGCTTGTTATCTGCATTATTTTAGTATCACTAATTAATATCTACATGGTATCTTATAGTTGGCAAAGCATTTTTATCATGACATTATTTAATTCATATCTAGGGATTGGATATTGTTCTCACCATTCTACAGATAATACTGAGGCTCAGAGGTCTTCAGCAACTTGCTAAAGAGAACCAGACCAGCAATTTAAGGCTTTGAACCAGAACCTACACTCTCCATGGCAACTGCCTCTTAATAGAAGAGGTGTTTCTCTTATGTGGGTTAAAACACTCCTCCGGAGACACAATTTTTAACTTCTGGGACCAAAGACTGAAGCTGTTCAAATAATACCTTTGCCAACCTTACCCCCAGCCCTCACCCACACATTCTCTGTATACTGTGGGGATAGGTTTGAGGTGGGAAGAAAAGCTCTTCTGAATCCTTGAGTTGGTCGGTACTGGATGGTTAATGCCAGAAGCCCTTACATCTGAATCTGTGAACATTCTTAAAGGCATCTTTATATAATGTTTCATGTTAGCACAACTCATCTCTTTGAAGTGTATCAGGCCTCCATGTGAGCAGCACAAATGCTCCAGCTCTCTTGACATCAGGACACAGAAATACAACTGTGAGAACATTTATGTCTCTGACTCAAACACCTCCAACTCTTCTCAGTAACTCCACAGCACCTTAATCTCTCCAAAAATTTAGAGGGAGAGGGGGAGGGAGAAAGAGAGACTCTCATCTCTATATAACACAAACATCTGAATACAGAATAATCAAAAAATCAACTCAAAATCTCAGATTCCCGTTTTCTCACTTTAATAAAAATATCTAATGCCTATTACCTGGCTTTCTGATGCTTTCACATAGACAATATATATCAAAAGGTGGAAAAAATTCTAAGAAATCTGCATCTGTGTTTTTTCAGGGAAATTAAGAACTCCTCAAGGTATATGGTAGCCAAAGTGTAGTCCTTGGCTAAGAGTCCAGAATTTCTGACTACTGGTTTAGTGTTTTTTTTTTTTTTAATTTTGTTTTATTTTTCTCACCACGAAACACTCCCTGCACATGATTATAGAGTGCTCAAGGATACTTTCAGTAGAAGGTCCTGCACAGTGGGCACTGGCATCTTAGATAGTAGCCGTAAGAGATGTGGAAGAGATGCTCTCTATGTTGGAGGGTCTCCTCCAATCATGGTCTAATCTGGATCCCAAATAGCCAAGTCAGAAGAGTGAGGCTTAATCTTACATGTCATTGCAGATTGCTGAGTGAAGGGAAAAGAATTTTGGAAAATATTTCCATAAGACAAAAGAGGGGCAACCCACCATTTACTTTCTTTTCTCCTTGGGGAAAAGGGAAAAGGGCAGTAAAAGCCCATTCTGCCGAAAAGCAGATGGAGTTTCTTAAAATTACCTTTCTCACTCAATTTCACACTTGAGCATCTAGGCCCAGCTGGGCCCAGGCAGTTCAGAGATGCATGAAAATGAAAAAAATAATGAAGATTAAAAGAAAAATCAGTTTTAGTTTTTGAGGTGAGGCAAGGCTCAGTTCTCATTTCATGCCCACTGACTTGTCCCATCTGACGAGTGTCACGGACTGAACAGAGGGGGACCCCAAGTCACAAGTTCTGCAACTAGTTCCCAGCTGTGTGTGGTGCTCAGCAAACTGGGAAGCTTCTCTGAGCTTCCCCAAGCCTCATTTCCTCAGTTACATAGGAGGGGAACTCTGGACAGGAGTGATACTTCAAGTGCTGCGTGAATGTTTTGTACTGAGAAACCATCTCTGTTCCTGCAGATTCAGTATGATACTCACATTTCTTTCTGGTATTGACACCATTTTCTCACTCCAAGACCGAACAATGCCATGCAGAAAGAGAGCAAGGCTGCTACGATCACTGGCCAGGACATTCCGTCTTTAGGTTTATTAACCACGATACCTGCAAAGGGCATAGAGAGACGGACTTTCATGTCAAACTTTGGCAACTAGAAAGCATGACTAATTGAACTCTCTCCCCTACCTGAAACATGTTTTCTGCAAGGTCCACCACTGACTACAGTCATGCTCTGGGATCATATCTATGCCTTGTTCTCACTTCTGTTTTGGAGTTTCTGAAGTTACTGTTTATGTGAATGTTTTTCTTAGAATGTTAGAATGTTCCAGAATCCATCTTTTTTTTTTTTTTTCCCTTTCATTTTCCTGAGGCCCTGAACAATTCCTGGCACATGATGGCAATGAAATGTTATTTGAAAGAAGGAAGAAGCGGGGCGCCTGGGTGGCTCAGTCGGTTGAGCTTCCGACTTTGGCCCAGGTCACGATCTCACCGTCTGTGAGTTCGAGCCCCGCGTAGGGCTCTGTGCTGACAGCTCGGAGCCTAGAGCCTGCTTTGGATTCTGTGTCTCCCTCTCTCTCTCTCTCTGCCCCTCCCCTACTCATGCTCTGTCTCTCTCTGTCTCAAAAATAAAATAAAACATTAAAAAAAATTAAAAAAAAAAAAAAAGAAAGAAGGAAGAAGTAAAAGTGAGAAGCTGTAGATTTGTATCCCAAATTTACTCCAGTAAAGGGAATTTTATATGTGAAATAATGCCCTACCTTTGGCTTCTCCTATTCTTTAAGAAGTCATTAAATGCTTTATGGAATTTATTGAGTGTATTAGGAGGAGGAAGAAAGAGTAAAAGGCATTATAACTGTAACATTCCAATGCCTTGAAAGTCCCAAATCGAGAAGGCCTGGGTAATACCTATAGAATTGTATGCTCAAGAGTCCATCATCTAAGACTTTTCATTTGGATGTCACTTGAGGCATGATATCCAGAATAGAAAGTTTTTAATCCTTTCTACCACTGTCCCTCTTTTTCCTTCTTCCTCCTTCTCTACATTTAGGCAATAGAAAGGGGAGAAGTGACCAAAGGAGTAAAGCAAAAGCCAGATAGTTTTGCTCTTTCTGTGGTCTGCAAAGGGTGGAAGTCAAAAAGTAAAGGGCTGGAGGGGCTGCTGGGTGGCTCAGTTGTTAAGCCAACTCAGGTCATGATCTCGCAGTCTCTGAGTTCAAGCCCTGCGTTGGGCTCTGTGTTGACAGCACAGAGCCTGGAGCCTGATTCTGTGTCTCCCTCTCTCTCTGCCCCTCCCCTGCTCTCTCTCTCTCTCTCTCTCTCTCTCAAAAATAAACACTAAAAAAAAGTAAAGGACTGGTAGAAATTATACTGGTGAGTAATGTAGACTGATTTTTCTTACCCCTCTGATTATAGCCACACTCAATTTATTCATTATATTTCTAGCATTTGAACACTAAGTCAAGCTGCGTGAATCAAAGAGTTTCAAATATTGTTGATTTTAGACCAGAGGCAATGTAAATATCATATTCCAGACTGTTTTACTTTTTTTCTAACATGAAGGAAGAATTAAGAAAATTAACTCTCTTAGGAAATAAGACTGTCTGATTTTACTGCAGACAATAAAAGGGGATGTGTATAATTATATAGTTACTTAATATTTTCCTTTTTGAAAAGCATTTTAAAATCATGTTAAAAATTCAAACAGTATAGAAACATAAAACTATAATGAAAAAGGAAGTGTCCTTATGGCTTTAGATGCCGGTAACCCACATTAGAGGCAAAACATTTTAATAGCTAATTATGTATCCTACTGGAAATTTTCTATGCATATCTAAGCATATATATATATTATATACATATTTATATATATTATATACATATATATTTCTATATAATTATGTACATTTACATATATATCATATATTATATATATTTATATTTATTATATATATATAATGAATATGTATTTCTTTTCTTACAAATCAGGGCATGCTATACAAGTTGTTCTGTCACTGGCTTCTTTCTCTTAAAAAAATGCTCTTGGAATGTTTTCCATGGAGATATACAGAGCTTTATCTTATTTGATTAAATGAGTGGATAGTTCCCCAGTGTATAGACATATCATGGTTTATTTAATTAGTTTCTTAACATTCAAGGGTTAAATTTTTCCCAGGCTTTTGTTATTTCTAGTAACACTCCAGTGAAATTCCTTATACATTATTGATAACTCTTCAGATTATGTAGATCATTTGGGCAAAATGTCCAGTTTATGTCAGAATTATCTGGATTAATTTTTTTATTGCTTCAACTAGATTGTCAACTGTTTGTAGGTAGAGACCAGGTTTTTAATTTCTTTTATTGTCTCAGATTTATTATACTGCTTTTTATAAGCAAAGTCTCAAAATGTATAGGCAAAACTGGGTTCAAAATATTAGTTACCAAATCTTTTCTATGTATTACATAGCTTAGACTGCAGCCATATGACATTGTCATGTTTATGATACACACCTAGAGACTTAGGATGTTCCTGAGGCTCACCCTACCTCAACCTTGTCCAAGCACATGCTGAGGGCACTCTGGAAGCCCATGTAATCCTATAATGCATCCCCATTTGCTATGTTGTATGTGCAGGTGACTAGTTCACAATAGTTCATGGAAGTAGTGGAACTGGTAAAGACTAGACTATCACAATCATAAGGGAAACAATCATACAGATGGCTAACCCAAGACTACACAAAGTTCTACTTTAGTCAAGTCAAAATTTACTAGGCTCGGGGCGCCTGGGTGGCGCAGTCGGTTAAGCGTCCGACTTCAGCCAGGTCACGATCTCGCGGTCCGTGAGTTCGAGCCCCGCGTCAGGCTCTGGGCTGATGGCTCAGAGCCTGGAGCCTGTTTCCGATTCTCTGTCTCCCTCTCTCTCTGACCCTCCCCCATTCATGCTCTGTCTCTCCCTGTCCCGAAAATAAATAAACGTTGAAAAAAAAATTTAAAAAATAAAAATTTACTAGGCTCTACACTGGTAACATGGTGGGACACAACATTTTACTCCCAAAGTTTCAGATAAATAAAAGAACAAAAGGTTTTATTTATTTTTTTACTTTTTAAATGTTTGTTCATTTATTTTTAAGAGCTACAGAGAAGGAGAGAGAGAGAGAGAGAGAGAGAGAGAGAGAGAGGAGGGGCAGAGAGAGGAGAGAATCCCAAGCAGGCTCCATGCTGTCAGTGCAGAGTCCGACATGGGGCTCAATCCTATGAACTGTGAGACAATGACCTGAGCCCAAATCAAGAGTTGGACACTTAACCAGCTAAGCCACCCAGGCACCCCAAGAACAAAAGGTTTTAAAGGGGTCTTACATCAATGCTTAAAATGTTTCTCCCTCCAAATACAGAAAATTAGACCACTGACTTCAGGGATGTCTCAATGGAGAAGCAGGGCTCCAATCTTGCCCATCTCTGAACCAGGCAGTTTTAAGCCACCAATATCTGAAAGACACTGTTGGGCCTTCAGTTTGCAGTTCTAGTGCCATGTTGTGCGCAGGATGGTACTCCAATGATCTGAGGACTGGATGACCTTCGATGCAAAATAAGCTGAGTACCCAACTGGAGCATTCATCAGTCAAGTGACCACCTCCTGAAGTGAAAGACTTGATAATGCCCCTGGGTTAGGAGGGCCTTGATCTCTTATGAGGTAAAACAAGAAATCATATTTAGTATTGACAAAATGTTATTAGTTTAGTTATATAAATACTCTTTGTTCCAACAATCTTTCCGGTCTCAGATGTATTTTCGCAGGATAAAATGCTCTCACTACTTTTCACCTGGCTAGGTTTCCTCATTTTTCAGATTTTAATTTCAATATATCCTCAGAGGCTCCTTTCTTGTTCCCAGTAAGAATCAGATCTTTCTGTTATATTCTGACAACGCCTTGTACTATTTCATAGCATTTGTCACAAATTAATTATATGATTACTTGCTGTATATCATCCATAATAGATTATAATCTTCAGAAGGCCAATGTTTACACAGGTCTCTTCTACGTACAAAACGAGAAAGATCTACTTCTTTCACAGTGTATATCCAACAACCGACACCAGGTCTGGCAAATGGTAGGTACTCGACAAATTATTTGTTGAGTGAGTAAGACACACAATTTTTTAAACAGGTAAATGACTCACCAGTGATATGGATGTGACTGCTGTTAGTAGATTTGGCAGTTGTGGGAACTTCTGAAGATGTTCTGGTTGTGCTGATGAAGACATCACCTAGAGATATACAGGACATACCCGAACTGATCCTAATAGTCACCTCAACCCCATCAAGTGGTGTAGAATCATGATTGGATTTCACTTGCTACTTGGAAGGGCTCAATTTTAATGGCCTAAATGCTCCTATGGTACTATGTATAAAGTTTTCTTAGGACCAATTTATAGCAAGGCTAGGATCTTAGGATCTAACAGCTACCAAAGGAGTGAAACCTTCTATTGGTTTAAAGGAAAAAGAGAGAGAGAGAGAGAGAGAGAGAGAGAAGCTGTATAGCACATATAACAAAACAATATCTGCTAAAGAATCTCCATGAGAAATTTAAGTGGTTATGGGAAAATGCCTTATGTTGGAGCCATAGAAAAATTCGACTTAGCCTTATTCTCCCAGGGTATCAGGGGTCCAGCCACTCAAAATACCAATTCTCCCACTCCAATATGTTTGAAAAAGTCAATAAAACTTCTTTTGCAACATTTTAGTAGAAAAATCTCTGTTGACAAATCATCTCATTTTCTAATGGAAAATTAACACTTAAAATACAATTTTAATGAATTTGCTTAGCCGAGCAATGCTATTTTGTAGATTTCATCGTGAAATAAAATAGAGGAAAAAAAAATCTAAGACTTGGTCTCTATCTTTGAATGATCGTGACTGGGAAAAATTTTGGTTCTATTTATTGCTGTTTTCATCATCAAGGTACACTTTTAAATACCTGAGATTGGTTTCTTACCTGTCCTTGCTTTTCCTCCTCTGCCCAAATAAAGCAGGTCATTATACTCCTTGACCCTAAATCTCCCCCAAGTACTCACCTTGAATTGTTGAGCCTACGCCTGAGGGGGATGAACTGTCTGTTTCACTGGGCATCCATGGAGCTGCTAGGGGAAGAATATATTGGAAGAGTCAAGCTGTATAAGAGTTGTTATTTTATTGTCCTTTCTTGACCTTTACTTGAAGCTAGTAATTTATATAAAATAATAAAACAAAAAATATTATTAATGCATATGTAAAGTAAAATCATTGAACTACGCCACAGCATACATACGAATGTCCCAAGATAAAGCGGGAGTTGAGGGAAAACTTGTGATCTAGATGTCTCCAATAGGGAAGGTTTTGATTATTGCCACTTAGAAGCAGGAGGAAGGAATGGAAGGAAAACACTAGGAGAGGTTCCTTTAGCCACAGAGAGTGTGTTGTAACTATTCTCTTGTCCATCCAATGGGTGGGAGAGAATGAAAGCCCGGCTGTGTTATGGTGGCCCTTTGTTGAGAAAAGGTGCCAACAGGACTTTGAAGACCTTGGTAGAACACACATGAGGGAACAAAATAATTTGTATTTGTGCACAAGTTGACATTCTTGTTTGGCTATGAAAACTGAACTGTGTCAATGGTGAATTATCAGCCCCCTGTGGTCATAGGCCACGCTAGCTGCTGTGTGAGTCGTCTTGATGGATTCAGAAGCAAACCTTCCCCTTGAGTCGATGGCAGCAAACTCAGGAAGTACCTATGGCTTTTGAAGTAGATCTATCGACTCATTTTGCTTAGTTCCCCATCTCTGGCAGCAAAGTTCCACTTGTTGGCAGGCTGTGCATTTCAGGCCTATAGTGTAGTGTAAAATAAAATAGCTATAGTCGCACATAGTTGCAATTGGTAGAAAAACACCATGCTCATTTATTTAAAACATTAGCATCTACGATTTTCCAAGCTAAGTGTCTTCTTGTGTGTCAAGACCAAAGCAAATAAGCAAAACCAAAGCAAACATTAAAAAAAAAGTCCTTAGTCCTCCTCTTTCCTGGTTCCTCCCTGGGTGCCAAAGGCAGTTGAAGGTATATTATCAGGCCCTTCAAAGAGGTGTGGCCACATGCTCTCCGGGGATGGCTCACAGTGCAGTCTGCCATAGCTAATTCCACTGGGGGTCACCCCAGAAATAAGGGGGTTTTGCATGCAGCTATTTTGAGTGTGACTAGGTCAGGGAGACATTCTTATCTTCAGTACAATTATCTGACCCTGCACAAGTGATCTTGATTAATTTTTATTATTGCTGTTCTAGAAAGAATACCAAGGTCAATAGGTGATGATGGACTGAGCCCTTTGTTAAAAGCCCATTTTAAAAGGCTAAGCCATTAAGTTAGGGATTTGAGTAACAAATAACAACAACTAATTAAAAAGAAATTGGGACCAGGACTGGATTTAGGTAAAATTTTGAAGAAGGCAGATTGTTCCAGATAAGCTTACAAGATTTTTTTTTGCCCAATATGGTGCCTCCTTTACTTATTTTTAGAGCTTGATACTTTATTTTTTATCTTTCAAAGTCTGTTTGTAAGAAAGGATGTGATAAATTAATTTATGCTGAGATATAAATAGTTGAACAAGTAGTAACCCTTTCAGGGAAGTGGGTATTAAGATTCTTTTTTCCATTTCATGTTTATCATACCATTTGTAAAAAACAACAGTTTTTTCACCAAATCCAGAATGCCAATCTTTTCTGGTCAATATTGATTTTCTTCAGGCAAAATAACCAAGCATAGCACAATTTCAGGAGATGGTGATACCATCGGCATGATCCATGCAACTTACAAAAACGGTAGGGCTTAAAATTATGCAAATTATTTGCCATTTCATAAATCTTCCTTTTTAGACTTCTAGGAATTTTCCAAGTGAAAAAAGACTCCTCAGAAAATGTGTGATAAAATTAAACATAAGAATCCATTTAGAAAAGCAAAAGTTATTTTTCTAATTTTGGCTTTAAGATTTGTTTTTAATCTGTTTAAAAAATATAGTGGGGAGTGTGTTGAGAGAGATGAAGAAAAAGGAGCTTCCAGTTGATGGATTCAGCATGTCTGAAAACACTTAGGTAATGTAAAGAAAAAACTTTAAGAGCAAGAATGTATTATACATAAGAGTCTTTCAGCGAGACAAAGAGATGAGCAATTGTTGTATCAATTGCTCCCACAGGAAGAGGTCTTCCTGAAGAATACTTACTTATAGAATCCTCAGTAAGATAGAGTTGGCTACCTCTAATGATTCATCTCTCACTAACATAATACTTTTCTTTTTTCAATTTTTTTTTTCAAAGTTTATTTATTTTTGGGACAGAGAGAGACAGAGCATGAACGGGGGAGGGGCAGAGAGAGAGGGAGACACAGAATCGGAAACAGGCTCCAGGCTCTGAGCCATCAGCCCAGAGCCCGACGCGGGGCTCGAACTCACGGACCGCGAGATCGTGACCTGGCTGAAGTCGGACGCTTAACCGACTGCGCCACCCAGGCGCCCCTAACATAATACTTTTCTAAAAGCTCATCCACTTTATCATTTAGATATCCAATCTTCAGAATGTGTTCCACATTGGCTACTCCATCTGCCATCCTTAAGTTTCTTTGAGAGTCTCTCGGCAGAATTATGTTTCTACTGTCTTTTAATTGATTGAAATATTCTGTGTTCTTCAAACCACCATGATGTGTGTTAAATACATGAGTTAATTCTCCTTTAAATCTTTTGAGACTCCATTTTAATCAAAATCCATGAATAAACACTACTTTGACATTTGGATGATAAATACCAGCTTGATGGATAACCTTCTCAAGCACATCACCATTATCAGCCAAAAATGAACACAGGGATGCTGTGTTTTTGGAGTTTTTCAAATAAATTTTTATATTCTTCCTTGAACATAACATTGGATTCTTCCACAATTTATTTAAATTTAGCATTGGGAAAAGCTTGTTCAACATGGAACCTATGTGCCTTGGCATGTCTTTCTACCATAAAGGGATATTTTTCTTCTACGGTAAAAGCAGAATCAATTTTGACAACATAGTATTTTTCCTCAGTTGCAAAAACTTTCTTGACATTCATTTTTGCAGCCGGTTTATGGTTGTCAATAATATCATGACATGTTGGGCACCTCTTCCCTTTGCAGGAAAATCTACTTAGTGCCATCTCAAAGCCCGTAGTTACCTGAAGATAAACTGCTACTTTTTTGACAAAGCTACAGATAATTTCTGTTATTTTTGTACGGTTTTTGATGTAAGTTGAACTTCTCTGAAATTTGGGCATCATTTTTGCACGTACATTTTTACATTTACATTTACCAAGACTTGTCTCAGTTATGCAATCACCCTTAAGCCATTCTGAATTCTTCTGTCCCTGATATTGTCCTGAAACAATGGCATGGGTGGCAAGAAATATTCAGAGATGCAGGGCTTGGATACAGGGATCTCCGTGATCTTGGTTGTCAACCCCATCTTCCTCTTCAGGGTAAATATGCACTGGGACAGCACCACTCCTTACACCAGGATGCAAATGTTGGCACTAATTACCACGTTTGTTCTTGTCACGACCACTTCCTCTTTAGATGAGACCCTCATGCTCTTCCTAACCATGAAAAAAGATGACACTCACGATCTCTGGAAAGGCAGACTTGTGTGCTATCTGTGGAGAGACCCATGATGCCCTCAGAAATTGGCATTTTAACAGAAGATAGAACTTAAAATCAGAGAAACAGATCTTTAATTTGTAGCTGACCTAATCAGGACCTAGGTAACAGAATGGGAGGAGGACAGTGTTTTACAGAAGAGGAAAATTGAATGAGAAGCGATCCGAGACATATAAGTTTTTCAAATTTGAGGATAAGAGTGGCGAATTTAGAGAATCAGCATCATAGCCAACAGGGAACATCAAGACTGCAGGGAATATTGTGCAGCCTGAAATAGGAGCAGGGCCCAACACTGTTGTAGATTCTGGCATTGCTATGTCCTTGCCATTGACCCTCAACCCCTCAACTCCAGCTTCTCCATCCCCTCCGCCTATGGAAAGTAGAAGGGGTTGCTATGAAATTATTCGGCACAGTTACCAAAAGCCTGAAAAGAACCAACCAGGACCAAGGACAGAGAAAACAATGCACTTGCAAGATTTGCGAAGAAAAGTACATAAATATTGAAGAAACAGGAATGTTTGGTCAAAGAACAAAATAAAGACCCTATGTGAAGTCATGAACAAGTACTCTGAGGCCCAGGTGTGGGTGTGTGTGGGTGTGGGTGTGGCCATGCACGTGTGTGAGGTAATGGTGAGCTTGTTGATTTTGGTAATGAGGCAAATTGGAGGCATAGGGGCCCGTGGAGATGCATATCATTTTTCTGCTTGTCTATCTTAGACAGACTGACTGAGTTTCATGTGGCTTTAGGCTCCACTGGACCCGATGGATGGCAGGGAAAACAGAAATAAAAAAAGTAATCAAGCTTCACTTTTCTGCTCCATGGCCTGATCACTTGAATGTCAAGATGCAAATGTCTCAGGATGTTATTAACCTTATATATTTTGGGCATTTAGATAGTCAGATTTGGTACCCCCATTTCATAAGTGGTTCAAGTAAAATACACATTTCTGTTCCAGACTGTTGGAAACTTGGAAGCTGGACTAGAATTAGATTCTAATATTCTCAAGTGGATAAAATGACAACAAAAGAATATATGAAAACATATACTTATAAATTAGTGAAAATGCAATGCACTCACAATCTTCTAGTGACATCCAAATATATATAAGCTACACAAAATGCATGTATAAGCAAATATCCCATTAGAATGTGTTCGGAAATAGCAAGAGCCTTAGAAACAGTGTTGGTGGGTTTATTTCACCAGAAATCCATCCATTACCATTCTTTATCTGCCTGTGAACATTTCATAAATCTACTGAAATAAACTTACTAGAAGGAAAAAAAATCCTATTACCAATGCCTGTCATGAATCTTGGCAAATGCATCATCTAATATTGGATGTCACATTACGGTCCAATCCAACGAGTAGAAACACGTTTCAAAAATAGTTTGGGAGTGAGCAATCAATGTTAACTTGTCGGATCCTAATGTGTTTTTGTGAATGATTATAAATAGAGCAACTCACTGTAGGGAATTTCTTTCTCTAAGCTTATGGATTAAAAATGGCAACTAGTAAACAAGATATTCTTATTTGCATAAGTAGGAATGTGGGTTTTCACTGCTGAGAAAATTTTGTTTGTTGGGTTTCAGAGTCCTTTCTTAGATTTCACATTTTCTAAGGCTCTATTATGGTAAGAATGATAAAGAGATGTTTGAGGATAAATGAAGTTTTCAGGTGGGAAAGGACAGATATATGAAGAATTGCAATAGTTCATTTCATTATGAAATCTATTAAAAAGACCAAGAATATATTTGTGTAAATTATAAAGCACTTTCCTGCACTCCCCTTTTAGTTTTCCAGTTTCTGGGGCAGAAAATACTTTGGGTAGCCTCTATGTTTCATAATGATATGATGCATGGGATGAACAGGAATTATTTTTTACTCTGGGCACACATAATACTGTAATAACAATTTAATTAAAGCAAACAAAAAGTTCGAAAATTCCAATTAAGTGGATCTTTTCTTTTCTTTTCTTTTTTTTTTTTTTTTTTTTTTGGAGAGAAAGAGAGAGAGAGAGCATGAGTGGTGGAGGAGGCAGAGGGAGACGGAGAGGGAGAGGGAGAGGGAGAGGGAGAGAGAGAGAGAATATTAAGCAGGCTCCATGTTCAGCACAGAGCCCAATGCAGGGCTCCATCCCACAACCCTGGGATCATGACCTGAGCTGAAATCAAGAGTCAGACGTTCAACCAATTGAGCCACCCTAGATCATTTCTTTTCACTGTGTATGTATGTATTTTCTTCCCTGTCTTTACCCACATGTACACAGATTCTTTCAATTGTTCAAGAAATATTTGCTGAGCACCTATTGTGTGCCTGCCGCAGCTACAGTCATTATGATACTACAGTGAACAAGGCAGGAAAAGGTTTAGGTCCCTATTCTTGGGTATCTTACATTTCAGTATAATTTCAATAAAAAATCAAATAAATAAAATAAAGGAAATCATTAGACACCAAGGATTATTCTGAGAATGAAAGTATGGGATAATTTATATGTAATTATAGCATAAATTTAAGTTGGAGTTCAGCTTTTTCCTATAATATTGTCCAATAACCTTTTATCAGCATTGCTACATAATTCCCGCCATAACCAACAAGTATTAATTCATTTATCTATTCAACAATATTTGTTGAGCACCAACTATATACCTTAGGCACTGAGGATACAAGTAAGCAACAACAACAAAAAAGATCTCATGGACTTAACTTGTATTATACTATCAAGAATCAAGGATGACAAACTAGTGTAGGTAAAGGAAGAGTTTCGTCAAGTTCATTAGAAACTCAAATTTATGTTAACACCATGGAAGATAAATGTTAGTCTATTAAGTATGGACTTTCATCCCCGATCTAACTAAGATTTTTAATCTCAATTTATATCTGATGGGTAAAAATTTTCCAGCAAGTACCCTTGTCTTTACAATAAGATGTCCTGGCTAGCTTAGCACAGCATGGCTATTGTTTGGATTGGCTTCATAATATTGCATTGAATTATGATCTCATCTTATTCCACATTCTCTTATTATTGGACATATTTTTCCTTAACACCCTCAGACCCCCACTCACACACACAGATTTTTGGACTATTATAATAAATTACAAACATTATGCCTTCTTCTTGTCTCATTCCTTGTATGCCCTTTGCAAAGCAAATGCTGTTCTGCATGCTATGTCCATTATTCACTTGCTTTTACAGTTTTTTTTTTAATTTTTTTTAACGTTTATTTATTTTTTTGGGACAGAGAGAGACAGAGCATGAACGGGGGAGGGGCAGAGAGAGAGGGAGACACAGAATCAGAAACAGGCTCCAGGCTCTGAGCCATCAGCCCAGAGCCCGACGCGGGGCTCGAACTCACGGACCGCGAGATCGTGACCTGGCTGAAGTCGGACGCTTAACCGACTGCGCCACCCAGGCGCCCCAACAGTTTTTAAGTATTTATCATATATTATGCTTAAGCCACATGGCGTCTGGCTGTACTTGCTTTAAAATTTTATTTAAAAATATCATTCCATATATTGTCACCTGGCACTTACTTTTTTGACTCATTACAATGTTACTAAGATCCATTCATGCTGTTGTATGTGGCTGTCATCTACTCATTTTTCATTGCTCTCCAGTATTTTATTCTAGGACTATGCAACAACTTATCTATTCTCTTGGATATGGCCATTTAGGTTATGTATAGTTTTTGCTATCAGTGTTTTCCCTGACATTTGTGTACACATCTCCTGGATAGGTATACTAACGTGTGTGTTGGGGGGTGGAGTATACATTCAGGAGTGGAATTGTTGCTGGTAGGGTATGAAAATGTTTGGCTTTAAAATATCATGTCAAAATGATGGGAAATGATGGTACCAGTTTATACTTTCACCAGCAATATATAAGAAATTGGCAATTTCAGACTTCTTAATTTGTGTTGATTGATTATATGTGAAATGGTTATCTGATTCTAGTCTTCATTTGCATTTCCTGATTGTTAGGTTATGCACCTCTTTGGATGTTTTCTAGCCACCGTGGTATATCTTTGGTGATGTGCCTTTCTGCTCATCTTCTAATGTTTTTGCATTTTTCAAAATTGATCTGTAGCCATTCTTTATATACTCTTGGTATAAAGTTCTGCTCCTTTGTCAATTATGTATTCTTGATCAGTTTTCAGTGATCAGTTATATAATGTGGCAAATATCCGCTCCCACACGATAGCTTGCCTTTTTTTTTTACTTTTGCTAAGGTGTCTTTTGATGAAAATAATTTTCTTAATTTTATTATATTCTAGCTTTTCTATCATTTTTATGGTTCGTGCTTTATGTCTCTTTTTAAAGCCCTTCCTTACCCCAAAGCCAAAAGGAAGTTCACTTTTATTTTGCTACATGCTTTAATGTTTTGCTTTTGACATAAAGATCGTATATGCCGCAGAGCTTATTTTTCTGTCATGTGCATGGCAGACATATATTTTAATACTTTTTTTCCTTATAAATAATCAGTGTTTCCGGATCCATTTGCTAATCGCCTCTTCTTTTCACAGGAATGTGCCACGCCACCTCTGGTTACACCTATTTGTGGATCTCCGGGGGTGCTCTGTCTTCTGAGCACCTTTCACTTCTTGCACTTGGGCACTGAATTCACAGGTGTCTATTATATTAACATATATGCTAAAAGAAATACATTACACTAAATTAAATCATGCACGGACTAATGGTGAAAGTGTGTCCTCAATTAAGAATTATGCTTAATCCAAATGTGTGCACCTGAAGTCCACAAAAGAGATAAAACCAATAACTAATGCGACAAAGAGCAATATCACACATGTTCCTTTTTGCTCTTCGATTAATTTCCTAAGGACAAGTTCCCAGCTTTTTGCTCTTCGATTAATCTCCTAAGGACAAGTTCCCAGCAGTGAGATGACTGAGCCAGTGGGTATCAAAGACTTTTAGAGGCTTTAAACGTACAACTTAAATGCTTCCCTAAAAGAGACACACACCTTCACTGTTTGTGCAAAAGGGCCTAGTAGCGAAATCCAGAGTTCTGCACCAGCGGCCCCTGGGGGCTTTGCTGAAGCCACAGCCCTTGCCACTCGCCTACCACACAGACAGATCCTCGTCTTCTACCACTAAGAGGCAGTGCACTTCCTCTTTAGATCCTGTTGCTACCTGCCAAAGCAGCATCAGCACAGGCTGCTGAGAGGCAGCCAGATTAAATGGCCAGACCCTTTCTGTGCCTCACACTGGGCCCCCTCTTCTCATTGTTGTTAGTGATATGTGTACTCTGGATACGTCACTCTTTCCTCAGATACACTCATAGTCTGCTCTTTCGTCTCCATTAGGTATGTTTTTACTCAGATGTCACCTTCCTCAGTAAAGCCTTGCAAAACCACCCTATTTAGAACAGCAACCCACCCTCACACCTGATTCTCATGGTCTCCCTCCGCTGCTTTATTTATTCCCGATCACTCATCACCGTGTGCCCGTCTCTCTTCCGCTAGAATTTGGAACTTAGCTCCGTTTTGTTCACAGATGTATCCCTGGCAACTAACTGCAGCAGTGCTTTAAACACAGTGGATGCTTTGTTTAGTGTTTGTTAATATGATTATGAACAGAGCACGTAGTGGTTGTCCATTATAGGTGTCGGATGAATTAATGAGGTCCAGAAGACCCCAAGGGACTCACAGTCACGTGTACAGTTTTTGGTATCTTTCCCGCTGGAGGTCCAGGAGTAGTTGAAGCCTTGGGTAGTCGCACTGGAATTGCTGGCTGAAAGACAAAATTCTCAGAATCCAACCTTTTTTGTACAGCTGTAATTTGACTTTACTTTGATGTGCTGAATTTTTAATCTATGTGACTTTGGGGAAATCTGAAATTGAAAATATGCTTTCCTACACGGGAACACAGCTGGCATATTAAGCAAAAGCTCCGTAGTTTATGTTTAATGCCGACTTGTCACTGATTTTCTTTTTCTGTTCCTGTCACCAACTCAGATCACTGGGAGTACTGTCAAGATTACTTTAATGCTATCTTAAAATTCCATGAGAAATGAGAAGTGCAGTATAATAATTCACCAACCCATATTTTTAAGATTACAGTGATTGTCATATCAATATATAGCCACAATTTAGATTACAATTTGCCACTGAGCAACTCAAAACCAAAATAGCAAACATTAAATGAAAATTGTAGCCTTTTGCCCAAACCTCAACATTGTCATAGCTATACTAAAACTTGTGTTTTGTCTCTTTTAAGTCACATAAGGAAAGCCTTGCTGTACTCACTTTGAGGGATGGTATTTGGAGTCGATGTACCCACATCTCCAAGGGTTGTTGATGAGGTAGCTGGATATCCTATTTTGAAAACAAATTTCCCAAAGTGTTAAGGTATATACATTCCCATGTTTGATATGCTGCTGTAATTAACAAGGGTGGCACGCAGAGCATGGAATATCAGAATCAGAAAGAACCTTGGTGAATACAGTGCCTACTGCCTTCATTTTTTTTTTTTAATTATTTTTTTTTTTCTTCAACGTTTATTTATTTTTGGGACAGAGAGAGACAGAGCATGAATGGGGGAGGGGCAGAGAGAGAGGGAGACACAGAATCGGAAACAGGCTCCAGGCTCTGAGCCATCAGCCCAGAGCCTGACGCAGGGCTCGAACTCACGGACCGCGAGATCGTGACCTGGCTGAAGTCAGACGCTTAACCGACTGCGCCACCCAGGCACCCCTTGCCTTCATTTTATAAACGATGCAACTGAGTCCAAAAGGCATATGCTTGTGGCTACATACCCAATATTCAATATCATTTCTGTGATATTAACTCAGTTCTCCAAGTGTATCACATTCACACTTTCAATATATGATGTTTCGGTGTCTTTTGTGTGCCAGGCTCCAGTCTACATTCAACAATGAACATGAGGTGCTCGTCCTCACGGAAATTACCTTGTACTGAGTTTTCACGATTGTACATATTTTAATATGCTCAATATGGTTACATATCTACGTTAGTTCTTAGCTTTCAAAATCATCCCCATGTTTACCGTCTATCATTTCCCATTCTTCCCCTCTCTCTTTTCCTCCCAAAGTGAAAGACGAATTCATATTCATTTGAAAATACCTCAGGGGATGAAGCAAGATAGATTGAAAGTGAAAAGTACCCAATCACACTCCATTTGAAAACATGGTTTATCTCTTGGGAAAACAAATGTTTAATGCATTTATTTTTGTGTATTTCTCCTTTGTTTCAAAAATATATTTAAGGTCGCATACATAAATACTCAATTCAAGAAGACAATAGAAGTAGATAGAAAGGGAAACTAAAGCCAAGGAAAATATGGTTAGAAAAAGTATGTTAACCTCTGTCTAAACCTGAGTGGGGATGGTACACAAAATGCATTTCTTGATGGCATGTACTCTTAACAGATGTGGATCCCACATTTCATCAGAACTTTCTAGTAACAATGCTAAGAAATAAAGAGTATATGTTCTGCCGTCTGTGGCCATCATAACAACAGTCAATTTTCAAAAGAAACACAGCAATTCTTTTTATTATGATTAAAAAATAAATTTCTCACCTGTCTTTTAAAAAAGAATACTGTATACTGTGTGTAATATTCTGAAAAATATCCTCATAGTATGGTGGTCAGTATGCTCATTCACCTGTAAGCTTTAGATAGTAGTGAATGGTATCCCAGCCTCCCAGGTACCTCAGCTCTGGCAAATCACACGCTTAAATAAAAAACATGGGTGGGGTGCCTGGGTGGCTCAGTCGGTTAAGCGTCCAACTTCAGCTAAGGTCATAGTCTCGCAATCCGTGAGTTCGAGGCCCATGTCGGGCTCTGTGCTGACAGCTCAGAGCCTGGAGCCTGTTTCAGATTCTGTGTCTCCCTCTCTCTCTGACCCTCCCCGTTCATGTTCTGTCTCTCTCTGTCTCAAAAATAAATAAACGTTAAAAATTTAAAAAAAAACATGGGTAATCAAATCCCTAAAAAAAAAAAAATACATGGAGGACACATTGATAAATTGGTCTCATGGTTTATGCATCTATAACTAATTTAGAGAAATGATCAACAACAATTGTTTTGCAATCCTGCTGATGAACACCAAAGACACGCTCTGCCCAAGCTCCGTGAATAGTCAGATATGGGGAGATGCGTTAAGAGGCTGCTTCAGATGGTGCCATATGAGGAACTAAAATGGGCAACAAGCATCAGGGTGGCAGAAAAAATGTTTTGAATACTGAATATGCACAGCTTCATTTATCCAGCAAATACTTATTGAGTGCTCAGTGTGTACGAGAATTGGGGATGACATGGAGAGAGAAACACTGCCCTTGTTCCCAGAGTTTAGTGAGAATAAAGGTCAGCGTGGCAGACTATCAGCTGACCACCAAGCCCATTCTTCTCTCTGGTGTGCATGAACTGCATCTCCTAGCTTCCTGTGTGGTCGGTTAGCTATGGCCATGTACTATGTCTTAGCCAATGGGACGTGAATAGGAGTGATGGTTGTCATTTCAAGGCCTGATGTATAAAGCCTCCCATGTAAGATCCTCCATGATCTTCCCTCATGTACTATCAGATATTATGATGCAGGGAGGCATAGAAGCCCACGAATGAAAGGTGATAGAACTGCCAGAAACCTGGGTTCTTGAATGACTGTGTCATTCCAGCTACTGGATCACAGAATGAATTTGAATTTCATTTCTCTCACTGAGATGGCTCTACTTTTGTCCCTATCTGCAGCAATTCCTTCGGTAACCTATTTTAAAATTTTTGTAGTGTGATGTACTTTTAAAGTAACCTCATCTCCTTTTTATTTATTTTTTTTTT